GTGGCCCGATGGCATGCACCAGAAAGGCAGGTCATATGGACCGAAAGCCACCAGAGTGGGCCGAGGTTGACTCTCGACAGACCTCAGGGTGCCATCTAAGCGAAGGATACAGTAGTCAGATGCACCAGACCGCGGACGGGAAGTGGATCTGGATATGCTTTTTCCCATGAAATGCGCGAGACGGTACTTGCTTTTTCTGAAACCCTTTCGATGCTGCAGCAGCTCCATGGATCATGCCGGCGGAAAAGACAACACTGCAGTTTGAGCCTTGAAGATCACCGACACGTCAAAGCCGCTCCCTACTTTACTGCGATTTTCAAAAAACTAGTTTCACATGTGCAGAAACTGACAAGAGCGCAAGTCGCATACATTCGGTTCGAGTTATCTAATTCAGATCCATTGCCCCGGATTCGTGAGAGAAACGAATTGCATTGATCTTTACACATGGCTAGTCGCCTCCTAATCGATACAAGCGAAAAGACCCTGATATACCCGTTATACTCCAGCATGGAAGACGTGTCTTTCCCACAGTAGACAAAAACCACTTACTATCGATCTAACCGCGGGTCGAAAACAAATTGGCGGACACACCCGTAGGTGTGAGGGCTTGGGAACGCTAACAAAAAAGCAAATCTCACACCTTCGGGGATCCAAGCTCTCGGAAGCCTTTCTGGAATCACAACATACCTTGAGATCTGCAACAAAGATTGTAAAAAGATTATCGCCCACCAAGAATTCTAGAGCGAGAGATACAAAAAAGATGTGAAGTCCGAAATTTCCGTCATCACTTTGATTGACTTGTAACAACCTCAAGAGCAGTGCACAAAAGTGCGGGTTATAATGGTACGTCGAGTTCTAGTAGCATGTATATATTGGTTGGAGATAAGATCATAAAAACGTGTAATTATCCGTTATCGAGGACCAAGGCATGGAAGAGGTTCAACATTTGGAAAGCCAGTGTCATGCACAGCGATGCGGACAGTGTCACAGACAACATATGTACTGTTCAGACATATATCTCATTTATGGCAATGGATGACCCAGTCCAATCTACTCATACCCCTCAAAAGCACTCTCCGCATCGCTACCACCCCCTACGACTGTACTTCCTCTCTTCTTTGCCGCCTCCCTAGCCTCTCTCTTCTTATTCTCAATTTTCCTATCATACCCACTCTTACTACTAATTCTGCTCTCAGGCTTCACATCCTTCCCCTTTGCCGTACGTCTAGCCTCAACACCCCTCTTCTTGAGGAGCTGCCTATCCCTCTTGCTCGGCGTAGGCAGTGCATCGAGCATCCACTGTTTGACACTCCCTTCTTCATCACCAAGTCCCCTTAACTTCTCAGAAGCGCGGATAACGTTGGCAATGAGCTTGACATAGGGGATATCGTCTTGTGTGTAGAATGTGACTGCGACACCGCCTTGACGACCGGCACGTCCAGTGCGGCCTACGCGGTGGACGTAGCCAGCTGCGGAGGTGGGTACGTCGTAATTTACGACGCCGTTTAGACCGCGGAAGTCTACGCCGCGGGCTAGAAGGTCTGTGGTTATGAGAACCCAGATTTCGCCCTTTCGGAAGCGCGTCATTATGCTATCGCGGGCGGACGAGGATAGATCGGCGTGTAGAACAGCGATGCGCGAGCTACCGCCTGCTTCTGGGGGTATATCGTAGAGGAGCTCTGAGTGAAGTGCAATGGCTCGGGGTATCGTTTGTGTAAAGACTAGGAACGGTGGGCGGAGCGTGGGCTGGTTCGAGTTGGTGAAGACGGAAGTCGGATGGAGTAACTGACGCAGACCAAGAAGCTTGCCTTGCTCGGTAGCGGCATAAGTTAATTGATGTGAAATATTGGGTATAGCGGAGTCTTTGAGTCCAACGACGAGCCGGATGAGCGGTGGTCGCCGAGGAAGGTCGGACTGTGAAGCGGAGAGGGCAGTCCAGCGGTCGTTCAGGGTAGATGTCGTCAGACTATCGATATTGGAGCCCATGGTCGCTGACCATAGACCAATTCGAAGCCTGGGATTTGTGCAAGCATTCCATATCGCGAGCGTTTGTTCGCGGAAGAGGGGATCGAGGAGGACGTCTGCTTCATCAAGCACAAGCTGAGATGCGCTAGGAATGTTCGCAACAGTGCTGTTCCTGCGCTTCAGTGCGTTGAGCAGAGCAAGCGGCGTCGCGACTAGGATGGCGGCTTTCACAAGTTCTGCCCTTTGACTAGCCTGCTTCTTCTTTGGTGCTGCCGCCCCTTCGTCGTCAGTTTGAGAATCACTTTCGTCATTTTCGGACGCGTCAACCGCATCCACTGTATCCTCAGGTATCTCCTTTTCTGGTTCTTGCACGACTTGCATGCCCTTCCTCATGAGTGTAGCCTTGATTGCCGTGCCTTTTGCCAATTTCCTCGCCTCGTTGACAATCTGCGCCGCAAGCTCTCTAGTAGGGGCGAGGACAATGGCGCGTGGACCCTCCCTAATGTCCGTAGTGCTGCTCTCCGCGAGTAGTGAGTCGATGATGGGTATCAGGAACGCCATTGTCTTTCCACTGCCCGTAGGCGCTACTGTCAGAAGATCAATGTCTCCATTGAACTCAGCACCAGACAAGCCTTCGACGTCGCCAGTAACCTTGCGGCCCTTGCTGCCCAGTAGCAACGGTAAAGCGCCAAGCTGAACTTCAGTAGGTAGCTTGTACCCTTGCTCTGCTATGTTCTCCGCCAAACGTCTCGATATACCGTAACGTGTTCGTAGTTGGGCAAACTCGACAAGGGGTTGTGGATAGAGGGATCTGTTCGCATTCTTCTTCTTTTCCTTGATCTCCTTCTCCTTCTTTCTCTTCTTCGACTTCTTTTCTTTACTTGGCTCTTCTACTTGTGTCGCAAAATCGTCGAGTATTGCAACCTTTAGCTTATGCGAGCGCAGTACCCTCTTGCACTCGTCCGCATTGTATGGCTCCTCCTCTATTTCGCCTGCGCCTTCCTGAAGGATAGCTTCCTCTTTGCGCTCTTGCTGCTTCTGCTTCTTCCTCTGCTTCTTGGAAAGAGTGTTTCCACTTGACTCTGAATCTTTGCTTGCACCGCCGCCAAAGAAGTCGAGATCGGCGGGTAATTCAGTTGCGCTCGCAGATGCGTCTGCCAGATTCTGCCCCCTTTTCCTTTTGCGACTAGTATTCGACGTGTCCGAGGGGTGTGTTGGCTCGTCGTGGCCGAACAGCTGCGGGTTTGCGACGGCGCCGGAGGAAGGAAGCTTTTGCGCGGGCGACGTCTGCGCCGCTTTCGAGGATCGCGAGAGGAGTTTAAACACGTTCATAGTGGCGGTAGGCTGGAAAGATGTTCAGCAAGAGTGATCATGTCCTTGGCATCATCACGTCTTGGGTTGCTGCTGCGCGGACTGCAAAAGTTCGATTGCGCGCTCAGAAAAATAATTGGGCCGCGGCGATTCGGCGCAACTAGCGCCGATCATTCGAGCATGCACGTGTAACCTGCTACTGCTATGCTACTATTGTCGTGGTACTGAAGTAGATGCATTGCCAATAATTGCACATGTAGAAAATGGAATCTAAATCAGAGGTATGTGCAGTATACAGTATCGGATCCCTACCACCCCGAACGCACCGCAAACACACTTGCTCAGCTTCCCTGCCCGCGAAATCGTACAGTGTTTCCTTCCTCACCAGCCCCTCGTAGCCCTCCCCACTACCTCTCGAACCTAGTGCATGCTGAAATGTCGTGTCGTAGCTTTCCTAAGCTCATCCCTCAAGCTCACCGCACTCAGTGGTGCTCGTCCTTCTTCTGCCGGTAGCCAACAAGCTTGAATCGGCCAATGATCTCGCCAACGGAGAAGAAACCGATGACCTCGGCAAAAACAACACCCATAGAGTACCACTGTTCGCGGGGCATGTTCCGAACTTGCGCAAGGACGTTGGCGGGTTGCTGGGCGGCGCTGTTGGCCTCGCTGGCTACGCGGTTGAAGAGGGAGCTGGGGTTGCGGAGAGCGTTCAATGCGGGCTGGATGTAGTTCTGCATAGTCTGGATGGATCTGTAAGCAGTCAGTAATTATTCCGATATTCCAGCATGCCAAGCCGGGCTTGTGGGAGGCCTACGGTGGTTGCATGCTTCGTTGGTGGGCAATGAGCTTGCCGAGCTCAAGTCCGACCCTTCCGTAGTAGGTAGCCTTGGGAACCAGTCCTATGATAATGTCAGTGTGTGATTCCGGATGGAGTATCATGCTGCATCAGAATTCCTGCCCAACGTCTATCACGGTCCAACTCTACAAACATGGCTGCGGTTGATAAGCCATGTGAAGCTGCACGGATAAACCAATGCGCTTCATGTTCTGGTATCCCGGCTCTTGGTACTAGACGCAATGCTCCCATGGCCAATTGGCACGCTCCCCCGCCTTTGAGATGGGGTGACTGACCTTGCACGAAGTTGACCATCCTTCCTACCCGTCCAGTGGCTTGCTGTGTCGCATTGTTGACGGCTTGACCGGCACCCGACGCCGCAGAGCTCGCGGAGCTTGTGACCTTGGTGAGACCCTCTGATGCCTTGGACTGTGCCTTTGACGCGGTTTCCTTTACGGTGTTGGTGGCTTCGGCGGTCGTCGAGGCATTGCGGATGCCAGCGCGGCGGACGGCGAACGTCGATTGCCGTAATACGGCACGTGATGCAGCGAGAGACATCTTGATGTGAATTGACGAAGGGGAGATGGGGTGTCGCCGGTCGTCTGCTCGTGAGGGTGGATGGAGCTCGGCAGTGACGCTTGGTTTTTCAGCCGCGCACGGACGCTCTTGCCCGGATGGCTCAGGGGATTAACGATGTTGGCATTACCACCTCAACAATCCCATGCTAGTCGCACATATGAGGTCACCTTTCACTCGCCGCTTCCTACCTTCTCTACAATCGTAGTGCCTTGGGTAATGCGCTTTCGTTGTTATAGTATACTCTCAGGTCAATGCTCTCTGATACCCAATCAACACCTCTCCAGCAATACTCAAACATGCCTGAACACCTTCACCAACCATCTCCCATGTCTTTCTTCTCCTTTGCCTGTCCCAACATGACTCCCTTGATCAGAAAGTTTAGCTTCCGGATCTCTGTCCAGCGACTCAGTGCTCCCAACTCAAGCACACTCATTCTCCTCATCTTGCCACTCGGATTTCCAATGACCACAGCCTTCCAGTCGCTGCCACGCCCAACCTTCTCCAGGTCTTTGAACTCTTGCCAGGCTGCCGTGTCGCGTCTAGTTCCAAACGTATGGTTCGGTATGACCTGTACCGACTTGAAGCGACAGAGGACCAAGATAAGCAGAACAGTGAGAGCAAAGAGGATGCCTGCCGTTGTCCCTGTGGACTTTTGTGCGCCAAGATTGCGCGTCATGCTTCCGCCGACTATAGTCGCAACTGCAGCGAGAATGAACGCGATGATTTGACTGGCGAAGATACCAGCAGTGACACGGGGAAAGGACGTGTAATTCGTTCTTCTTCTGCGGTCTTGTACAGCCATGCTTTGCAGCCGATGTCGTGTGTTGACTCCAGGTTGTAGGTCACATGTATCGAACGTTTCCATCATCAGGCCGTGGCATTCAGCTATGGCGAGAATACTGAGGAAACCCACAGCGCCAGCGAAAACAATCGGCACAAGCCATGGTTGAGGGCGCCTAGCCGAAGAGACAGTGTACGCCATGCCCATGAGGGGAAGTGTCAGTGTGAAGATTGCGCGGCGGACAAGATGGCTTGACCAGGTGACTTGTTTCTGGAACGTCATGGAGTCGGTGCGAAATGCGCTCTTTCGCTCCCGAGAGAAGATGCCCGCTTTCGTTAGGGGGATCGCAAGCAAGGCGCCGATAGCTATGGATATAACACCCGCGCCCACCTTTGTCGGCTTCCATCTGTAGTCTCGCGACAGGAGAGCACCTAGCAAAATGATCACAAGGACGACCTGTGCATATATCCATCCCAGGTACAATGCCAGGACGAGAAAGCCAGGTTGACACAGCATCATTGCCATAAGCTGTATACCCGCCCATACTTCCTCGAACCAATACTTCGGTCCTTCGGTTTCGATGTGCAATTTCACTTCACCCCTGCTCACACGCCTTGTGATGTAGTTCTTGTCTCTGTCATATACCTCAGTCACCGACTTCCGGAATGGTGCGCGTCGCGTTTCTGAAGTCATGATGTTTAAGATCAAGGCAAGAGCGAGGATCACCACGACAATATAGAACCCCCAGTCCGGTGTCAGCTTTTCGATGATCGCAGCCCCGATTTGGAAGCCGACGGCCAGAGACCCGATCCAGCACCATGACCAAAGCCCCAGCCACATGCCCATACCTCCACCGTGGCGACGGACATCGTTTGCAACAACGAACTCTTGATGAGGGTTTTTGGATTGTAGAGAAGCCCCAAAGAGGTCAAGCAACACAGTGATGTAATTGACATTTGCAAATCCGAGAACGACCCCAGATAAGCCACGAGAAAGTAAAAGGCCGACACGATACTTCGCGTCCTTGTTGCGGAAGCCGCTGACGACAATTGCTTGGGGAAATTGGAGTGGCAAGGCGATTGCGAGAGCAGCGAGGACATAGGGTTTGCGTCCATGTAGGAGGGGTAGTGTCCAGGCAAAGAAGGTCGAAAAAGCAAGCCCAGCGTACAATACTGCATTACCTATGATCGTGACGTGGCGTTCGTCCGCCAGGGAATACTGTATGCGAGGCACTTCACCCGCATAGATGCCAACGATGACACCAAGCAGAGCTGTGTTGATACACGCAATACTCGCAGTAAGACGCTTCTTACCTGCAGACCAATTTCGTGCAATTGGCTGTCTGCGGTGATGTCGTCGAAGACCAAACGTGTGATGGTGGGATTGTCCTCGTACCGTAAGTTCGGTGCCATATGGCTTCGACAGCCTGTCGTCCTCATCCAAAGAGGTATCTCCCTCACCGAAGCCCGAGTCATCCCTTGGCCCAAGCCGAGTTTTAGGTCTCGATGTATGCTCGTGGCTTCGACAGCGGCGATTTCGACGCACCGCAATGTTATCAGTGATGCGTTGGCGAGACCGACCGCGAGATTTGTCTCTACCTACAGGACGAAGAACGAAATCGACGTGTTCTCTTGGAGCTGTTTGAGCCAGCTTTGGCAGGAGCAGATCGCTTCGCGTGTCGAAATCGACATGGTCTCGCTCGCTTTCATGATCACTGGACGAGCATAACGAAGTAGACGAACCATCTTGCTTTCGAACGCCTGGATTCGCGTATGCCCAATCGTAGGACACTGAGGCTCTTGGTACATCTTGTGGCAGCCGGACATTGGGAGCGACATCATCTATGCCACCTCGCTGGACGATGGCAGACGGCTGTAGATTCTGGTGGCGACTAGATGAGCTTGAAGAGTCAGACACCTTAAGAGGAAGTGCGGTTGTCATGAGAAATCCAGGTTCGGGGGAAGCATCATGCACAGCGCCCTTCGCTCCCTCAATGATTATGCACAGTTCTTCCACTTGACTTCGATCATCAGCGACCTCAGCAACCTCGACCGCTTCTTGAACCATAGCCTCTAAACCTTCAACCATGTTGTTGATACTCCTATCCATAGCTCCCACGAATGTACTAGGTATCGGTGCCGGTTGATTGGGGGATATATTTACTCCCGATACGGTCGCAGGAGGCGTGCTGCTTGAATCTGAAGTGCTTGACTGCTGGAGATGATCAGGAACGGGCGCCAGGCTGTCAATTCGAGGGCGAGGTTCATAAAGATCGCTTTGTTCTGGCTCTTCATCGTCTTTCTTGGCATGTACGATAGAACGTCTCTTCTGTGATTCGTGTGACTGCGGTATAGACGCTCGTGCTGCTCTCAATGGAGTCACTGCGTCAATTGCCAGCGAGGCTCGACGCGCCTGGGATAGTCGGTGCTTTGTTACTGGAGATGGGCTGCTCGGGACCGCTGACGACAGTCGGCGCTCAGCTGCTTGCACCAGTCGATTGTGTCGCGCCATCGGTTTGCTCGTGATAGCAGGTGTCGAAGCACCTGTAACAAATACTTTGCGGCCAGAAGGACGAATGGTTGACGGTGATTGAGCAGGGCTTTGATGATCATCTATGGGCGAGCTGCATGAGCTCTCCACGGCTGTACTGTTCTGACCATCTGTCAAGGCTGCAGTCACGATCCGAGCAGACTTGTGAGTCAGCCAAGGGAGTCTTTCCGACGTGGTACGTGGTGCAAGCTTCTTGCGCTCTGGGGCTGTAGTCATCTTCAGGTGTGCGCTCGATACCTTCGAAGCATTATCTTTAGACTCAGTCATACCAGGGAGTGAAACCCAGCTTGGTTCGGGCTGAGACGGCGAATGCGCACGGGTTTCGAAGACGGTTATCGTACGCTGCTGTGATGCTTAACGGCCAAACTGCCCAAAGAGTGAAGTGAGAAGTCGGTCGAAAGGGCGAAGAATATGAAGAATATGAGATGACCAGCTTCGACTACTTGCAGATAGACGCAAGCAGGGCGGCAGAGGCAGAGGGCGTAGAAGAAGCTGGTTGTTGTAGAGCTGAGCCGAAAAGGATGGACGAAGTGGAAGGTAGAGGTGATGTTGTTTGGAACTCAGCAACACGGAGGTTATTATTACCCATCTTTTGTTTACTTATCTAACGTGACTGATAGCTCTTGCTGCACACTCTGCGGCCAACATCCTGCTGAAATTACGAGGAAGCTGCGATATCCAGCGACCGTATCACAACAGAGAGTTGTCAAGTACGTTTAGATGGCAGGACTTGTTCCACGCATTTCATGTCACTAAGAGTATATCGCCTGGAGTACTGACTCAGTCATAGCCAGCACCTTTTCCTCTTCTAGCCGTTGCGCGACCAGCCTGCATGAGTCAGTATTGCTCTTTTCAGCAACGACGATTCAACACTTACTGTAGACTGACTGGGAGACCATGTAATAGCTCGGGTTGATCTGTCGTTCATCAGTTGTCGAACACAACCATCGGTAGCACAGTGTATAGCTTACAGCTGTTATAAGCATCCTGACAGTAGTCGCTCTGGGGCTTGTAGTCACTCGCGTGTTTGTCGACTGCTTTGTCGACAGAGACCCCGCATGGGAAAGATACGGCGGCATAGTCAACAACATTATATACACCAGTATACCCGACGTACTTGAAATCGCCATGCGCCACACTTGAGTACGGGGTCGTGGGTGCTAAGAAAGGTTAAACACTGCTTTGCAGCAAACATAAATGCTCGACTTACCTAAGATGGCGTCGAGCCCTTCGATCGCCATCCACTGTTCCAGGTACTGCCGTTGTAGCTCGGATCTCTCTGAATGTAGCTTCCACATGTCATATACGCCCAATTCTTTGGCATCTTTGTACTGAACCATCTCAGGTCGAAATGGCTCGCCTGTCGCCCCGAGTAATGATTCGACGCTTTTGCCGCCATCGGCGACGAACATTCGTCCCTATGCTTGTCAGCTTGGGGGCTGGTGTAGCTCCAAAAGTAGCTCACCAGAAGTGTCAGCGCAGTTCCGTGTAGTCTTGGATTCCAATCCAGAACTTCATGTCCAGCCTTCTTCAGCTTCTCGGTCGTTTCCTTGAGAGCGCGCGTTACCGGGGGTGTGGGCAAGCAGACACCATCGTTCCAAAGGACCGCTATCTTGAGTCTCCCCGGAACATCAACTGACCGCCACGGGATAGGCAGCATCTTTGGGTCTAGTTTCCATGGCTCCGCATCGACAATCGCCTTCGAGTACATGGTGATATCCTGAAGCGACTTTCCCATGGGTCCATTGACGCTCTGTACCGCTTCCTGGCCAGCGAGACCAGATCTACATCGCTGTGTTGTAAAGCGACCGAAAGATGGTCGAAGAGTGAAGATGCCGGTGCATGCTGCCGGGATTCGCAAGCTGCCGCCCTGATCTTGTTAGATATGAGGATTACACGTCATAATATAGAACTCACTATGTCGGTCCCGACGCCTAAAGGACTACCTCCAAACGCAATGAGGGCTGATTCTCCGCCTGAAGAGCCGCCAGACGTGACTTTGCGATTAAGCGGATTAACGGTACGTCCGAATGTGTTATTAACGGACTCTGCCTGTATCCTGTCAACTTCCAACCCAATATATGCCTGCGCGCATACATACGATCATCATGGCTGTCGGCACATTTGTCTTGCAATACCGGACTGCGCCCAGCCGTTCGAGTATATCCACCAACGTAGCATTGTACTCCGCCGGCTGATTGACTAATGAGGTGAAGCCTACAGTGCTGTCTTTTCCCTTTATATTGAAGTTGTCCTTGAGAGAGATTGGCAGACCATGGAGTGGCCCAACAGTCTTGCCAGTTCGCTGGAGATGGTCGTCGAGGGATTTGGCTTGCTGCACTGCTTCATTGAAGAACACATCGCTAAGGCAATTGGTCTACACACACGTTAAAATGATTCACATGTCTCCTGGAGGTTCTGCCATACCAATTGCTGCGCTGCTGCTGCGCGTTTGCAGAACGCGATCGTGACATCTTCGGCGCTCCATGTTTTCGACGCGATCTGGTCCAGAATGTGGATTGCGCTGCTCTCAGTGATCTCAAGCTCGTTTGCTGTAAACCACCCAGACTCCTTAGGCCATGTTGTCACGTCGAGTTGAGACTCTGGTGGTATCTTGTCTTGCGGTATGCGATATTCGGTCGGAATGGATTCCGCGAGAGCTGCGCGCTTCCCCGCAGCAACTTTCTCCCAATTCGCTTCAGATGTCATACTTTAAGACTTTCGCAACGCCAAGCTACTACAATATCGAAGAACAATAGTGAATAAGTTTACAAGATTGAAAGACGGTTACTTCGAGCGTTTCAGTGAGTACTCATGACCCTACCGCAATGTATTCTCCCCACTCTCGGGTCGTCTGCGCCGCGGCCATCTGTCATTGTGGTGGTCCCCAACCGAAGCCATTGGAGGCGTCGACGATACCATTCCCCGCACCTTTGGACGCACCCGACCCAGACTAACTGCTACCAGACATCCCGTTGCTTCGGCCGAGATAGACTACCGCTGGTCAAGAGGTTATACCTGCCCTGTTGAGATTCAGATACGAACACCCAAGTAACCGATACCGGCATTCAGCCGCTTCACCACAGAGATATGATCGGCAAAAACGCTTACTGAATATGCCTATCTCGAGTCAGTCATAAGTG